CAAGTCGCGCATGACCTGGTCGCGTCGGTTTTCGTTGCCTTCACGCAGAAAGATGTTGTACATCCAGTAGACCTGCTTGGCCCACGGAGCTTGCGCGGGCAAAATAATCTGCTCCGTTAAATCGCTGAGAGCCTCAGCGTACCATTTTGCGAGGCGTTCACGATCGGTTAAGGCGGTTTCAATGCCTTCCATCTGCGCCAGACCAATCGCCGCTTGGATATTGGTCATGCGGTAGTTGTAACCAATGACCGGAAACCAATAGCGACGCTGAGGATCCATCCCCTGACCGCGATAGAGACGCAATTTAGCTGCCAGTTCATCATCGTCGGTGGTTATCATTCCGCCTTCACCTGTAGTTACAATTTTGTTGCCAAAAAAACTGAAGGTGGCGCATGTGCCCAAAGTCCCAACCTTTTTGTCATGCACTTTCGCACCATGAGCTTCGGCAGCATCTTCAAGAACCCACAGTCCGTGTTTGCGTGCGATTTTATTTACCGCATCCATATCAGCAGGATGCCCATAGAGGTGCACGGGAATAATTCCGCGTGTTTTTGGAGTGATTTTTCGTTCGATATGGGCAGGGTCTATATTCATCGTGTCGGCACAGACATCAACCAATACTGGTGTGGCGCCGCAGTAGCGCACTGCGTTTGCGGTCGCGATATAAGTTACTGTCGGAATAATGACCTCTTCACCTGGTTTGAGATCCAGTGCCACTAACGCCAGATGCAATGCCGTTGTACCATTGTTTGTGGCAATGGCGTGTTTTGAACCGCAGAATTTTGCAAAAATCTCTTCGAACGCACCAATGTATTTTCCGTTGGAGGATATCCAGTTGGTGTCAAGGCAATCGAGCACATACTTCCGTTCGTTTCCTGCCATTTTGGGTTGAGCAACAAAAATCCTATCCATATTTTCTCTTTCTTAATATTTAATTCCTAGTTACGCTGACTGGGATGCCAACAACCGTTGTATTTGATTCGACACGACGAATAACCACCCCTCCAGCACCGACTGTTGCGCACTCACCAATGACGATGTCAGGTATGACCTTACATCCAATCCCTAAAAAGCTTTGATTTCCAACTGTCACATTTCCTGCCAGTGCACACTGAGGGGCGATATGCACCGCTTGACCGATTCTACAATCGTGGTCGATCGTGGCACCTGTGTTGATAACAGCAAGGTTCCCGATAACAGCTTCGGCATTGATAATAGCGCCTGCCATGATTGCGATTCCATGACCTAGTGATGCACTGGGCGAGATGATGGCGTGTGGACTTATCGCA